GTACATTTATCAAATTATTATTATTATACAGGAGTTATATAATGCCAACAGTTTGCACAGCGCTTTACAGTATAAGGAAGACATTACAAGCACAATACAATTCAAGACAATGGTAAGGAAGTGATACATGAGGAGGTAGCTGTGTGGGGATGAATTGTTTGAGAAAGTGATAGTTCAGTGGTTATGTTAAGGTGGGATAGGATTCCCTGAAGAGATGAGTCTTAATAGTGGGCGGTGGAGGACATAGTAGAGAGTTAAAAGTAGAAAAGAGTTGACGAGGTCTGGATATAATGAGTGTTAATGAGAGTGACAAAATAAGTCTGTTTGGCAGCATGGAGGAAGGAATTATATTTTAGGAGGGCAGCCTAATACAGCGTGAAGTCTTGCAGAAGCCTAGTTTTCCGGCACAGTCGTTCAAGAGCGTGGCTATGTCTTTTAGATGTAAATTAGTGCTGCCCCCCTCCTATACATCAAAAGTACCTCTTCTAATCAGGGAGCCCTAGTTAAAAGTCTGCTGTACAGACAGTGCTGCCCCCCAGGCTCTATCAATGAAGATACATTGGTGTCTGTGTCCGCGGTGTGATCACTTATCCCACCGATGAAGCTATGACTTCACAGGACTACACTTCCCCTGATCCTCCAGGCCGCATCCAGAGCGCAGTCTTTGTCGGCGCACGCCCCCTAGAGGCAGAAGATGGCCATTGCGATTTAAATCCCCCAGGAGCTGCTCGTTAGATGCGCTTGAGTTGGCAGTCTGGGGAAGCGCAAGAAGCAGAGGAAGAGAAGAAGCAGGACCGTGTAGATCGAAAGGGTCCTGCACATCCCCCTCCCACTGTCACAGGGGACAAGGTGTGTGTGAGAGATAGAGGCTTGCAGAGCGCCGTCCGCACACTGACACTGTCAGCAGGCAGGCTTCAAGATGGGCAACCGAGGGATGGAAGAGCTGATCCCGCTGGTCAACCGGCTCCAGGATGCCTTTTCAGCCATCGGACAGAATGCCGACCTAGACCTGCCTCAGATCGCCGTAGTTGGGGGTCAGAGCGCCGGGAAGAGCTCAGTGCTGGAGAATTTTGTCGGCAGGTAAGAAGAAGGGAGATGATGCCTCTTCCAGCATCCATTGAGAAGTGGATTAGAAAAGCAGACACAAAGCAGATTTATTATCCTGCAGCAGATTCCTGGCTTGCAGGCTTGCCCAGCACCAAGGCTAGATCTGTTTTTTTATTAGCACAGTGAATGATGTATAGGCGCAATAAAAAGACACCATGGCATGACGACATGGTCACAATCACCTTGAGCCCCATTGATCCTAATGGGGGCACCGTATATCTTAACATACATGTATTCTACTGTATAGGACTGTTTCTGGCTTCTCAGTGGCTGCGTATCACCATTTCCATTCGTGCAAATGATATAAAAGATCAAAAATATATTTATGTAAGGGGTTAATGTGCAGCGGGGATAGAGGAAAAAAATGGAGGAGGTGCTGAAGAATACAGTACAGTCACTCCTGCAATGGAGAGAAAGGGAGGGGGCTACTGAGGCAATGTCATCAGTGCACGGTAGAGTTGAGACTTCCAATCCATCATTTGTTCCCTTTCATATGTGTAAGATTTAAAATAAAAAAAACCCGCTGGCCATGCATGGGGCGATTTTCAGCCAGTAGTAATCTACTCTTGGTTGGCAAAATGCAATGAGGGATCCTCACTATCAGTTTGTATAGAAATGGTTGGTGGTTGACTTCATCCATTGTACCAATTGTGCCAAAAAGTGATGTTTGATTGTGTAAAATGATATACTGTACATCATTTCTCATTGCTCTGTTTTGTTAAATAAAGCCATGTTTGCATTAATGTTTTGCAGCAGAGAGCTATATGAACAATAAGTGTGTTGTAGCCCAAAGAATCCGCTGTCACCTTTCTCCAACATACAGTACGGCAAGGTGACAGCTGACTGCTATGGGTTAATAACCTTTGCAGCATGCTTTCTGCCTGATTAATTCAGGGCCCTTGGCATTCATTTAATAAGGCAGCACAAAGTGTAATAATTATGTTCAGAGTACACTATCCCATCGTAACCAGATCATTCAGAAGGCTGAACAGTATAAGATAACTGGTGACTAGTTGCTATGGGTTATCACAGTATGCACATTGAAAAGTGACACACTGCTGTTTGACATGCTTTCCCAGGGCCAGAACATTGTAGTGATGTGCAGTTGTTACAATGTCATTCTGCTCCTTAACTGGTCCTGGAGATTCTCCATTTTCTATGGGGGTGGGGGGTTAAATTATTCGAAGTAGAGCTACATTGTGAAGGATTACATAAATTATAGGTAGTTATTGAATGGAAATGTTCCATTTGCATGGAGGAGATAATGTGTACTTTGTGCTGCATGGACAAGTGGTACCAATGATGACAGCTTTTCAAGGTGACACTGCTGTACAGGCTCCATCATTGCACATTTGTGCCACACATTGGCCAAGGATGAGGATGATGAAGGATGACAGAATACTCGCTAGCAAACATATTGTCATCTTAAAGTAGGATGTTTTGGAGCATCTGTAAGCACCGAATACACATACTGAAAAATAAACATGAGCACACGTTCCAACAAAACAGTCGCCAGTCACAGGTTCGCACAAAGACTGCAATGCCTGGGTGTATAGCTGTGTGTACAACAGTTACTGCTTCTCTGTCAGCAAGGCCTCAGAAAGGCAATGATGGGTTAATGGGATTTACACACTGCAAAGGTAGAAGCTCAAGGGAGCTGACAGCATCCAACAGATAGCAGCTGGTGCGTGCAAGATAGCCTTGTGGCAGACACTGTATAAAAATGGGGGTTGAGGTGTGTGTGTACATGACTATGGCCCTTTGTTAAATACATAGATACTCACTTTGGAGGTAGCACAGGTTCCTCCGTCTTTGTATATAGATTTGTATAGAGATTTTGTGCATACAGGCCTATGTTTTGTTAATTTACTCTAATTTGTGGTCCTCCCAATGGCCTGGGAAGATTAGGGTCCATGGATCAAAAACAACCATGATTTAGAATGTGCAGTGCCAAGATAAGCTGTTTTGAAAGAACACTTATCCCAGCACCGTATGTAAATCTGTATGTAAAACTTAAAGCCTATCAAAGGAAAAATGTGAAATGTATTGCAGCCTACCAGTCCTTAGATGTGGTGACTGCATTGGGGGTTTTTTGTAGGTTTATCTTTGCTTGTGTTTTTCCATCTAGTGTTTTTCTGCCAGTAACACACTTCCTGACCTAGCACTGATGGAATTACTGCCATAGCATCCAATACAGCTGCTATGTGACCTAGACCGGTGGGGGGTGTTCAGTTGGGGTCTCAGGAATGAGGAGTGGTGGGCGCCTGTGTAAAGAAATGAATCCCCATTCAGACCTCTGTCAGCACAGACCCGCAGGAGCTGTGACAAAAAAGCGGCAGAGGAAGGCTTCCAATACTCTCTTCCTCTGCCGGTGACAACATCTAATGCAGAGCTGTAGAGATCAACTAATGCAGAGAGGAAGTAATAGGAAGAAGCCTTCTGGAAGCTCTTTGTTTATTGACAGCTGCTCCAATTCTGTACCTAACAGCCATTCACTGTTGCCCTTTAAGTGTTTTGGCTACATGAGATATTCACCTCTGGGCTAAATGTTCTGCTTCGTTTGATGCTGGAGAAGTAGAGCTCAATTGATGCTGGGCACTGAATTATGGAAAAAGTGACGTAAGTACCCAAGATCAGAGCTCTAGCCCAACCTCGCCTTGCCTTTCTTCTTGCACTATATGGTTGGTCTCTTAACATGATGGGTGGTCTCATTGTCCAATAGTGTCATAAGGGAAAGACCAAAACTCTGACCTTGGGAACTAAAGTCACTATTTGCATACTTGAGCACCTGGGATTTTGAGGGATCCAGGGTGCTTGTAAAGATATCAAAAGATAGATATGAACACAACTAGGTGCATGTGTTGTACTCTTCTGCAAATTTAGTAACTTTAAGACAAGCACAGGGGTTTACTTTAAAGGAGAACTATGAGGTAAGTTCTTTTCACTCACCTCATAGTTCTAGCCGACCTGTGACAATGAAACTGTCACAGGTCGGCTCAGTAGATTGGGAAGTGAGCGAACTTCTCGATCCTGTCACGGCTCTCTGCCGTGACAGGGGAGGGGCTGGATTCCCCCTCCTAGCTCCGATCCTCCAGCGCTGATTGGCGGAACGGACGGGGAGGGGCGGGTACAGCTGGCTCTGCCTCTAGATAGGCAGAGCCAGCTGTCACTCACGCAGCTGGGCGGATCCAGACTTAATTGTCGGGATCCGCTTCAGCTGCGGCGTCTCAGTATACCGCGAGTTGTAGCTCGCGGTATACTGAGCTTAGGGTGACGAGAGGATGCTAGTTTGTGTCCTCCCGTTACCCTAAGGAGAACTATGGGGAACAGCCCTAACCCCATAGTTCTCCTTTAAGTTATGAGCTGATGATCCAGAAATCACCAACACTGTCACCTATTTTAAATTATAGGAACTGTGATCAAGGTGTCTCTCGAAAGCCTGGCTCCTGTTCTCATGCTGTATATGATAGAACCAATGAGGAGATATGTTTAAAAACAACTACATTTAGAAGAAATAGGCTTCTCCCTTCATTCCTGTAAAGATTCCAACAGAAGGATTGTGACACCAAGAAAGATCTTTTGGGGGAGAGACAAGAACACCAAAGGAATTCCCTGTGATGTATAAATTAAAGGGTGTTTGGTGTAAAAAATGTCACCCCTTTCTTTTCCTCCTTTATGTAAACATTATCTAGAAAACGGAAAACTTTTCAGCTATCTCTGACTGGCCCTAGGTTGACCAGAAAACCATTTAAATGTGGCAGGTTAGGTAAGAGCCATGACTTGCTTAAAGGAGAACTATGACATGAGTGATTTCCACTCACCTCATATATTTCGCGGGTGCGCGCAATTTTAAAGCTTGACATGTTTGGTGTCTATTTACCCGACGTGACCCGATCTTTTATATTTTACCAAAAAACTGGTTAATAATAAATGTTTCCTACCATGATGTAAAAAAAAACTTTTTTTTTTCAAAATTTTCTGTAATTTTTCCTAATTATAATAAAAAATAAAAACCCCAGTGGTGATTAAATACCACCAAAATAAAGCCCTATCTGTCCCCAAAAAATGGTATAAAATTCATTTCAGTACAGCGTTGCATGACGGAATAAACGTCAGTCAAAGGACTGCAGCGCTGAACACTGAAAAATGGCCTGGCCAGGAAGGGGGTCTAAACACCTGGTCTTGAAGTGGTTAATGTCACTAACGTTTAGGGTTATGTGGTTAGGTTACATTTAAAGGTTATGTAAACCCTGACAGGGAACATCTATTATCCGCTCTCGTTTGGTTTGCAAATATACTATTTTAAGTTTTTTGTTATGTCTGTTTAACAAGGGCAAAAAAATAGTTGTTGATTTTTCCCGAAATCGTATGAGCTCCTAACCTCCTATGCCCTCTGGCTGTGCACAAGGAGGGGATATAAAGATGAGGAGGGGGAGGGGAGATAAAGAGAGCTTTGTGTTCTTTCTAATCCATCAGAAATGAAGTAGGAAGGGCTGACACCAGGCACTTTAGATTTCAGAGCTAAAAATACACTCTGTTGTCACCTCAAATTATGGGCAATAATATATTTTTAACACATCAACAGTTATTTTTGGGTACTTGCAGTGTGTTTAAGGGGATAAAACATGGCAAATGTATTGCAGTTATATATAAAAAAATGTTGTTTTTTTTGTGGCCTTGACGTATGCTTTGTAGACTAGGTTTAGGTAATAAGTTTAGATTTAGTTTTAATTGTATGTTTGGGTGCTTGCTTTAGGGGTTAATTTCAGGTTTAGAGACAGGGACTTGGCTGGAAATACGGGTGGATTTATAATTTTGCACTAAATCTTTGGAATTGAAAAATCACTTTTTTTTTCAGTGTAAATTTAGCTGCCACCAAAATCTCTTACTTCCAGTAATACAGGGCCTAATTTATTAAGGTACCAAGTCACAGCTTGATAGTGCAATATAAGATAGCTGGCCAGAAAAATCAG